CCTTGCGGGGGCGGCGGGCGTGCAATGTTCGTTTGGGTTGTTTTTGTTTCCTCTTGTGTTGTTTTTTCTTTCTCTCACGGACATTCCTGTTAAACCCGGGCTAATGGCTTAAAGGCTGGCTACGCCCCTACATATTCGTAATATCCCAATATGCGTTGGGAACATAATTGACGTGTGTTATTCAGGGTTTAGCTGTTAAATACAGTCCAAACTCCTATTAAGCTGGCCCTCTGTTTTAAGCGGTTCCCCCTCTATTATGCGGTTACTTATGCAAATTCCCGAAAATCTTCCCAATACTGACTGTAAAATCTGACCTCTACTAAGCGGTCACCTCTGTTAAGCGGACGCGCGTCACCGTTTTAGACTTCCCAAGGGCTAATTTTATTGTATTTCACCTCTATTAACGGTCACCTAGTTAGATTACAATGCGATATTTTGACACGACGATAAGCGGAAAGCACGTCCAGTTTCTTTCATAAGAGCTCGGCGTAAAAAACACAACATATTATATTAATATGTAACAACATATTATAATAGGCTTGTGGGGGTAAATTTTAAATTTTAAAATTTTAAAATTGAAAAAATTTTAGAACCACTCTATTTAAACGCGTCAGTTGGCTATTTCCCGAGGTAGGACCTCTTAATTAGAGGTTTGACTGTAGAATACATGTATCTCGCATGTGAGTACATATTTGTAATAGCCGAAATTTGAGTTGGGAAAACATAATTGATTTTGTGTTTTCAAAGGTTAGCTGGTTTAGCTGTTAAATAGAATAATCTCGGGGGAGTACGTTGTGAGAGTACAATTTGTAAATAGCCCAAATGTGCGTTTGTCTTTATTTGCGTTTCAAGACTCATACTTTATGCAATAATATAAAGCGATATGGATTTTCCTGTGTTTTAGTATTTCGCTTCTTGAGCCGTTTTTGAAGCGATTACAGTTTTAGTCGCGTTCGAAAACTGGGACCGAGGGAATTGCCTAACGCATCACCTGTCCCACACTTCACCTCCTGAACCATTAATTCCCCGGCGGGATGAGCGTTCTCGGTTTTCAGTTATTTATTTAAAGATCTTTTAAATATGAACGGTCAAGATCCAAAAACGAGACGCTTTTCCCGGGGAGAATTAATGGTTTAATAGATGAAACAGGAATACGAAGTCTCGAGTCCAGTTTCCAGACCGCGTGCTAAAAAGCACTCGTACTTTCATCAATCAGATTTGTTGCTGGCTTTGAGCACCTCGTTGCTTTTGGAACAAACTTATCTCTTTTTCGCCAGTAACAGGCAACTAGGTTACACCTCCGTGTAAGACTTTTCTGGCATAGACCCCAAGAATAGCACTTTGCCTTTTTGGAGCTTCTATGATCTGTATCAGCACTCGATTCCTTTCAATGGCCCAACTGTTTTACTCAGTAGGATGCTGCGTAAGTGTACTTTAGGCTTGTTCGTGAACTTGTGTTTGTGATCGATGTTATCGACGTTTTCCCGTAGTAAATAAAGACTGTCTGAGGTTTGGGCGGGGGGTCAGACCACACCTTCTTTGAACTGCGCACATACTGCTGTTATCCAGGTTGGTTGAAATTTGCACTTACTCTGTCGTAAGAAACCGATAGTCCCAGTCTGTAAAAATTTTATCCACCAGATTTTTCTTTCGTCTCGGCGTGGATCACCAGTCCTAAGTACATGCGCAACGGAGCGTCTCTCTCTTTAGGCTGTGTAGCGTTGCCTTTGCTTTACGAGTTCTGGTCTTCTTCGACGGATTAGGCCTGGTATTCGGAACTCAACAGCTGGGATGTCGCTAGAGGCAGAGGAAGTGCTGGCGCTCCTTTCTGTCTCGTCGCGTTTGTCTTGCTTGATGCCTAGCGCCCTCCAATATCCAATATTCACTAGGGCCAGAAGCCTAGCAGGAACCTAGCCTCGATTGTCAACAGTCCGGTTCGAAGGATCCATTAAAATTGCGGCTGATCTCGTAAAAAATTCTCGCATGCATGAATGTAGCATTCTTAGAACCGTGTAGCATTAAGTCAGCGGCTCTATATGTTAGCACATCCGCGCAAAAGAATTAAACGTGTTCGGGACATCCGCCATGCTTGTGTAGTCGCTGTTCTTGTAGACTAGGACACTTCATGGTGTCAGAAGTGGGATGGAGGCCACATGAAACCGCCCTGAACCACTGATATTGAGTGCAGCGACGAAATAAAGCAGAGGCCATGGCGAAGATGGAAATGATGTCGTAGGAGACCTGTACAAAGTGACGAGCGGCCTTAGTGTGAAAAAGGGATGAGAAAAATCAAGTCGCCACGTTGCTCCATGTTGCTTGGCCCACTAAAAAAAGGAATGTGTGGAAATTCATTCAATTTTGTGTGGGGTCTTCTTACCGAGCGGAGTGATCGCAAAAAAATCGCGGCAGTGGAAGGGATAAAATCAAAGCTTTTATTATTGTGCGCCGTTGACATCAAATGCACACTTTAATCCGTCATGTGTTTATTTCGAACGGAAACAGCAAGAAGGTGAGGCAGTCGAACGAATTTTTGTAGCGCAACTGAGAACACTAGCCAAGATCAAGAATTGTGGACCTAGATTATTAAAAGAGGAATCCTGGACAACGTCTATGTTAGTGTTGGGCCCTTAAGAATCCGCGTTCAAAGGAGAGACTGCAAGAACGAGAATCAGAATCTAGAGAAGACATTACAAGCCAGCTTCGTTATCGGGAACGAAACAACGCAAGCAGCATATGTGGAAAAGCTTAAAAGGACATGAGAGCGGCAAAGTTAGAGAATGTGGATTATGTCGGGTAGTCAAGGACGCAAGCATCAAGGGTTGCGAGACGTCCTGTGGGAACTGTGGTATTTCTCATGCCACAAAAATTCATTGTCGCCGCTGCCTGGCACGACGCTGTCACAAGTGTTAAGGAAACTGAATAATTGCGCAAGGACTGTGCCGTGCAGCCCGAAGGGCCAAGGCAAATGAGTGAGTGCTGTTGATGATTATGACTAATGACTGGACTCTGAGACTATGTTTATTGGTGCAGTTTAATAAGGAGATAAATACTGGATCGAAAACAGTAGGATCTTGGAAATATTAAGGAGACTTTCACGTTAGACACTGGGGGCCCAGTGTAAAATATCTTGCCAAAAAACTGTGTATGGACAAGATAACAACAGAGCCTTTGCCAGCCATCGTCCAGCCAGATTAGAAAGTTATTCAAAAAACTTGTATCAAGGCCAGTGGGAAAGTGTGAGTTGCCTTGTGG